GTAAAGTTTCAGTTTTCTTTATACATGTGGAAATGTAGTTTTCCCAACACCATTTACTAAAGAGACTATCCTTTTCCCATTGTGTATGTTTGGTATCCTTGTTTAAGATCAGTGTTGGACTTATTTCTGGCTCTTCCATAGTATTCCACTGGTCTACGAGTCTGTTTTTATGTCTGTACCATATTATTTTGATTGCTAGACCTTTATAATTCAGCTTGAAATCTGAAAGTGCCATGCCTCCAGCTTTGTTGTTGATATATTACATATAGACTCTTCTTTTATATTTATTTAATATATCATCACCACCATCATTATCATCAAGGCAATAGAAGCAACAACAAAGAAATACAATAGAAAGAAACCTCCTTAATTATTACTTTGTCATTTCCAAGTAAAAGTGGTATGTTCTCTTTTCTTTTGGCCTAATGCGTTTTATCCCATTAAGGAAAATTAACTGGCATCAAAGGAAACATTAAAACAATTAGATAAAGCCTATTGAGATCATGTGATGTCTAAAAGAAAGCATTATCTTCTTATGTAGTTTTTCTGTCATTCTCTCCATTTTTGGAAGGTGTCACCGAATCACATGGTGGTGTATTTGAAAGAGGTCTCAATACCCTCGTGGTAAAAATGCACCTCTCTCTGGTTTTCCCCTCATGGCTTTAAGTGTTCTCAAACTAAAATGGAGTATGAAAAAATAGAAAGATAGCGAGATATGAAAAGAATATACTTTCCTTGCTTTATGTAATTGTGGTAGTAATAATCCTGTGGCACCTTAATAGAGACCATGCATGTTAAGTAGAAAAAGTTTTAACTTTTATACTAGGATATCTGTTGTTGTTTCACAAAAATAAAATATTTTTTCTTTGTCTTTGCATGGCTATTCTCACAACTGTTTTTATTATATGTACTCATTTTCTATTTCAAATATCGTATCATTATAAGTGGTAACCATATACCTACATGTTATAATTTTTTAACATAATCACATGCCATTATTTTATTTTGTCAGTAAATGTATCTTATCTTTAAATTTTTTTTAACATTTACTCATTTTTTGAGAGATAGAGAGAGACAGAACATGAGCAGGGGAGAGGCAGATAGAGAGAGACAGACTGAAGCAGGCTCCAGGCTCTGAGCTGTCAGCACAGAACCTGGACCAGGGCTCAAACCCCTGAACTGCGAGATCATGACCTGAACCAAAGTCAGAGGCTCAAGTGACTGGGCCACCCAAGTGCCCCCGTATCTTATCCTTTTAATTAACCCCCAACGTCTTTGAGCATACACCTTATCTTGTATGATACTTGTCCTATACAAATTTGGAGGGAAAAAAATGAATCATTCTTTTATGAAACTATCAGGGAATAAAATAAATAACTTACTGAAAACAACATTACCTTGGAGTTACTTCACTGGAGTTCAGCCTCCAAAGAGTGCTGTTTGGTTCGCTTTAGTTAGCTCTATAGGCTTAGGCAAATCACCTATTTCTCTCAGCCTTTCTTTAGTCATTTAAAATTGTTTTTATGTTTATTTATTTTTGAGATAGAACAGAACATGGGTGGGGTGGGGGGTGGGCAGAGAGAGAGGGAGACACAGAATTCCAGGCAGGCTCCAGGCTCTGAGCTGTCAGCAGCTCAACATGGGGCTCAAACCCACGAAACATGAGATCATGACCTGGGCCCAAGTCAGATGCTTAGCCGACTGAGCCACCCAGGTACCCCTCTTTATTCATTTTAAAATGAGGTCATTTGGTCAGGTTATCTCTAAACTTTCTTCATTTTAAATATTACTTTTGAAAAATAGTCTGTTTCATAAAAAGAATAGCTCAAAATCCACATTTTCCCAAAAACAAAAAAGGGACTAAGTTAAATCATGAAGTCTTATTCATATAAAGCTCTAACAAATCTTTCTCCTTTTTGATATTTAAGCGTGTTTTCCACATATCTGAATTTGCTGTGTACATATTAGATTATGAAACGATTCATTCCTAGGACAATTTAGTGCCTTAGGATATTTTCTTGATAATCTACTTATTGAAATTTGACTCTTTATAATATATGTCAAGAAAATACTTACATAATATGATTTTTAAATTCCAAATAATTAATATTAGATGAATATAATAAGAAGTCATTAGAACCACATTTTGACCACCTTTAAGAAATAGTCTTAAATCATGTTTATACATGCGTCCTTATAGTTTAGCTACCAAAATAATAAGCACTTTATCAAATCTCTATTTTCATAATAGGCACTCTTCTAAGAATTATTGGTCTCTAACAACGTTCTCAAAGAGCTACCAGGCAAGGCTATTAAAATGCAAACTATGGCAAATGTACTCAGAATATAAAACAAATACCAATTGTCACAGTTCATTTACATCCATTTGCACAATGCATTTATTTTATTTTACAAATAACTGATAGATAAATTAGTGGAAATAATACTCAACCTCCCATGATTTGAAAAAAAGAGAGGTGTCACTTCATTCTCAGAAGGTATTTTCCAGAGTTGTTTATATATAATATTATGCTATCATAAGACCTATAATTTTATTTTGCATCCTTATCTGACATTTATCTGGGGTTTATTCAAGGAATCTTTGAAAAAATTCTTATGTATTTGGACCTTTAGTACATTTAAGTTACATTTGAAATGATATTTATGGACATACTTCCTGCTTCAGATGGAGTTGAGGTAAGGGAAGGTGTTCATGATGGGAAGGCAAGGGAACAGGAACTCGGAGTGAAGCGTTAACCATATGGATATCTGAGAAAGCATTCTTGACCTCGGCATGAAAAAAAGATACGAAGAGACTCTGAAGTGAGTCTGCCCTAAGTGAATTCAAGTAACACCCAAAACAATGTAATGTAGCAAGGGCAGAGGAGCAAAGGAGAAATTTGGAGAGGGAGCCGAGGATGAATTTTTAGTTTCGGAGCCATGGTTAGATTTGGTCCTAAGAGCAAAGAGAGTCCTCAGGAGAGCTTTAAGCAAAGGAGTGACATAGTGTGAATTAGGCTTGAACACGCCCCTCTTGCTGCTAATGGGGATCAAGGGCAGGAGAGAGAAATATTAGGCTCAGATACCCATGAAACATATTTGTTGGTTTATGTCTTCTGAGAAGCAACTGCCAAACAGGATTGGATGTTGCAAGATATGTCTAAATAACTGGGAAAGATATAGGGACAGGGAGCAGAAGGAAGCAAGCGGAGCCTTCACACAAGAGTTGCTAACACCATAGACCTGCAGGGAGAGGGGAGCTCAGATGCAGCAGGGCTCTGAGAAGGTGTTGCTCCGACCAATGGGAGTCCTTAGTAGAAGTTGCCCTGTAAACAAATCCCATGTCAGGCAGGGATGACCCTGTGCTAGTCCCCCCCTCCCCTGCTACTGAACCATTCTCTGGAAGAGCCTGAAAGGACATGGCTTTGCAGACAGAAAAATGTGGCAGCTGGAGGCTGTCAATCATAATGCTCCTTGAAGGGAGGTCCAATCAGGACACCTCTGTGGCCACCACAACGTGGGTGCTTTGGACTAAGAGGTAGTAGTGGAGGTGGTCAAATTTGGTTAGAGTTGCAGTATAGGTTGAGAAAAGAAATAACGTTATTTACTAAAGGATAGCATGTGAGATAGAAATTTTTGGCTTGAGATCCTGGATGAATTATGACAGTTTCTAAAATGGAGAAGATTTGGAATAAATAGGTTGCAAAGTGAGGGAAGGAGCAGGAGTATGGGGAAAGCGAACTGTTTTGGACGTGTTAAACCTGAGATGATCATTCAGCATGTAAGCAGATATGTTATAAAAGGTAGTCACATACATTTCGTTGGGCAAATAGTGAGCTGTGGGTATTCAACAGTCATCTGTATGGTGAGTACAGTTGGAGAAGAGGAAAGGGTCATCCATGAGCCCTCGGTTCTTCACAACATCTAGAAATTGGAATAAGAAAAAGGACCTAGCCACAGTATAGAAATAGCCAGAGGAGAGTTATAAGTGGCATATATAAAAAGTGAGTATCTGACTCAGAGATAAAGCCACACAGATGAAAGAAGGGGAAAGATTAGAGAAATATCTATCTAGGGTTATCAAGTAAAAAAAAAAAGTACTTCAAGACAGAGGGAATGGTCTGTCATTTCAAGTACTGATGAGAGGTTAAAAGGATGATGACCTCAAGTGAATCATTGGATTTAGCAGTGTGGAGGTCAGCGGTGACATTGTCAAAAGTGGCTTCAATTGAATGCAGAATGCAAGCCTTACTGGCAAGAATATAAGAGAGAATGAGAAGGAAATGTAGACAGTGAGAATAGAAACTATTTTAAGGAAATCTGCTCTAACAGGGAACAAGAAATGGGAAATTGTGATTGTTTTGTCAAGGTAGAGGTTTGGATGGGTGATGTTACAGCATGTTTAGATACTTACAGGAATGATCTAAGAGTAAAATGTGTGGCCCAGCACAGAAAGGGAAGGACTGCATAAGCTAAGTCATTGAATAAATGAAGAGACTAAGATCCCGAACATGAACGAGGCAAGTTTGGCCATAACAACAAAGATAGTTCATCTATTTTGAACAGAGTATACTACTCTGGCTCCCAAACACTCTGAATATTTAATCTATAAGTCTTACCAAAAAAAAATTCCCCAAGTGTAGCATAGAAAGAAAAACTTATTTAAAAAGGCAGTTAATGAGACATGTACTAAAAGACACATTACACATAATACACATGCATTTACCCACATCCCACATGCTCAGACACACAGAAAGAGAAGAGAGGGAAGAGAGATGTAGTAACATAAGGGATTTAGCTTCCTACCTGGAAGGTAAGGAGGAGAGAAAGAGAGATGATTAATCATAATGATAATGCAAAAACTAAAGATGTTTCTTGCATATTCTCCTTTTATACTCTAGAGATTAATTACTACAAAATCTAGCCCCTGTCTCTTCACATTTCCTCCCACTGGCGCCCATTTGCCAAATGACTCATTTCCAAGGTGTTCCACTCTACTTCTTTTCTTTTCAGAAACATACTTTTCAGGGAATGAGGGCTCAATTGTCCTTATCCAATCTTCTTAACCACTTCTGTACTTTGTAAGATGGCCCATCTTGAATTCTTGTTCAGTGAATGCTTAAAAAAAAAACAAGGCAGTGAACAAACACATCATCTTCTATATCCTTCCCCAAGCATTCGGGGAAAAAACAGTACTCATTTTTTCATCATAAAGGATGGTTGCATTGTCAGTGCCACTACATCTGTCTTGTCCTTCTGCCCTGCATTTCATGCTGTCACTACTTGAGTCCCCTAAATCTGATGAAAGAAGAAAGACTGAAGTCAGAGGGAGTTGCATAGGTTCAATTTTATTGTTTGACATGAGAGGTTCTGATACCCCTGTTCGTGTCCTGTCTGTATGCACCAGCCTCAGGTGAGTGCCTTAGCCTGCAGGGCAGGCGCCTACTTGTAGCCCGAGTTACCGGGGAGGAATCTACTCTAGCACCTGCTCATAGTCTCAGAGAATCCTTCAAGGTCTCCGGTTTCCCCTCTAGCCCACTCTGCTCTTCCTCTCTAGTTCCCTATGATTCTGGGTTGTCTTGGTTTGCATTATTGACTTTCCCTTTTCATTTAGCCCAGCTCTAGGTTTTCTATTTATGACACCTTGGAGTTATCTGAGCCCCATTGCCAGGTCTCAAATCTCACTTTCTTTGCATGTCTGGCATTGTGAATGTGTGGGGTGGTTCTGGGGCAGTGTTTGTCTGGAACTGCAGATGCACGGGTGACAGTCATGGGTAAATGATGGTGCGCTGGCTTGTTTGGAGAACAAATGAGACTGATGCAGTTGCATGCATCTGAGAAAGGTAACAGTCTCTACGATGTAATCCTTTGTAGACAATCCTTACAGGTGTCTTTCCTTTTATTGTTGTGTCATGAAGTCACGACAAATGGCCATTTCCCACTATAAAATGTTTTGTTTTGTTTGATCTTCCAAAGTACGTTGACCATGGTTTTGTACAAGGATTTTGGCTATTCTGTTTTCACACAACAGTAGTCTTTTAGGTCTAACTATCAATTTAATGGCGCCAGTGACCATCAAAACAAAGAAAATTACACAGTAAGTCTGTCTGTCTTTCCTGACGGGAATCATTTGCATTGCATTGTGGCACCGCACATGGACTTTTCCCCAGTATTTCCGTAACCATCATTCACACAAAAGGGTGAACCAAGAATGTGAAGGGAATTTTATTTTCAACGTCTTTGTTTCTAGTAGGGAAACACTTTTCATAGCATCACTTTTATTGTTTGAACATTTATAGTACAGAGTGAACCAAGTAGAAAATAATAGCTTTCTAGAAGGATAAAGAAAGCATAAGCCTCATGATGGTGGTGAATGACATGCACATTGAAAAAGAGTAAACACACAAGTACACAGGACAGGAAAAATGTTTTACTGTACTTTAGATTTACATGAAACATTTTTTGGTGGATTTCAAAGTGCTTTAAAATAGTACTTTTATAGAATAAAAGAAAGGGAGATTTAAAGGAAAAGATGTTCATAAAAAGTAAGGAAAGAAAATGTCACTTAACTGGATATTTTAAGGGGAAGGCTATATGATTAAATTGTACTAGTGGAAGTTTGGCATAAAATTCCATTACCTGAGATGGATGTACATTTTCCAAGCGCTAAATTATGTGGTAGAAAAAAAATTATACCAAAAAGAATGGATGCTATATTGTTGTCATTAGTTATTGAGTGCCTTTTAACCTAGAAGGCAACACAACTCGAATGAAAATCACTTCAAAACAAAGTGTTAGAGACTATGACTTTGAGGTTTGAATAGGCAGAATGAAACTTAGTACATAGTAGTTTGAATTTTCTTGATTCTAACTGTAGCTTATGCCTTGGTTGTTTGCCATGTATCTATTTCTGACTTACATCTATGTTTGTATGTCTATCCATCCGTCCACCCTCCCACCCATACATCCATCCATCCAGAAGAGCAATTGTTACTTTAAAGTTACCGAAAACATCACAAAGCTAACCTCTGTCAATTAATTGTCTTTTCTTTCCACTTTAAAATGTTTGCGTACTGCAAACATCTATTTACTCTATTTACCTACCTTAGAGAATGAGATGCTGATCCTACACTGCAAAAGCAGTTCTTCCATCAGTGATTTCCGATCTCTCCCCTTCAACAGCCTTAGCAACTTTGTGTAATTAATTATCTCTTCCCTCTTTTGCACCTCAGATTTTCCCCCCTCACCTGGCTCCTCTCTTTGTCATTAAGCACGTTCAGGACTTCAGATCCTAAGTTGTTCGAGGCATCATTTTCTCCCATCTCACCACACACTGCTGGAGAAAGCAGTGTGTGCGGCCTCCACCCTCCCCCGCTAGTGCCAGAGGGGCCATGTGTGGTCTGGCAGGGACAGATCTGTTCTCCCGAAACCAGTGCCATGTGTTCTGTCCTCAGCCTAGATTGCTGGTTCAGAACATGGTCTCGAAGCCTGAGCTGCAGTCCTGGCTCCTACACATATAATCTAGGTTTACTTGGGCAATTTATTTAATCTTTCTTCTTGCTTCTGTTTCTTCAGCTGTAAAATGGGAATGCTAATTTTGTACATGTAAAGAGCATAGCCTTAGAATAGAAACCAGTATATAAGGACATTTTTCCTTTAAGGACATTTTTCCTTTCCTTTCCTTTTAATTTCAATTCAGTTTTATTTCATTCATTCATTTATTGTTACTATCATCCATTCTTTTTTTTAAAATGTTCATTTATTTGTTTTGAGAGAGAAAGAGGGTGCACATGAGCAAGTGCGAATAGGAGAGGGGCAGACAGAGAGAGAGAAAGAGGGTCCCAAGCAGGCTCCACTAACCAAACCGTGGGATCCTGACCTGAGCTGAAATTAGGATTGGATGCTTAATCAATCAAGCCACCAGGCACTCCTGTTATCCATTCTTTATTGCAGCTGCTCTCAGCTTCTGTAATACCACACTGTCATGTTTTTTCCCCTTGCTTCTCTTGTTACTCCCCTTTCTCTATCATAGGCTTATTATCCTAATTTTTTTAATGTTTTATTCATTTCCGAGAGAGAGAGAGAGACAGTGTGAGCAGGGAAGGGTCAGAGGGAGAGAGAGACACAGAATCTGAAGCAGGCTCCAGGCTCTGAGCTAACCCTCAGCACAGAGCCCAACGTGGGGCTCGAACCCACGAACCGTGTGATAATGACCTGAGCCGAAGTTGAACGCTCAACCAACTTAGCCACCCAGGCACCCCATAGTCTCCTTATCCTAAACTGTTTGCTATTTTTATGTTACATTAAGGGTCTGTCTGCCTTTCTTCATTTATCTATGACTACAACTACATGAATGACATCCATACATGATTGCTGAATTGTAGTGGTCAGCAGGACCTCAATCTGTGATCTAGTCTAGCACTTCCAGTTGCCTTCTGGGCATTTCTTCCTGAATATTTGAATCAACAGTATCCTACATGGCTTTAATTGATTTCATCCTTTCTTTCAAGGCTTCTGGTATCTGTGTTAGCACTTGTGTTTCTATTTAAAAAAAGAGTGTTGGGGCGCTTGGGTGGCTCATTCAGTTGAGAGTCCAGCATGGTCTCAGGTCAAGATCTAGCAGCTCATGGGTTTGGGCCCCATGTTGGGCTCTCTGCTGACAGCTCAAAACCTGGCGCCTGCTTCAGATTCTGTTTCTGCCCCTCTCTGCCCTCCCTCCACTTGAGCTTTGTCTCTCTCTCAAAAATAAACATTTAAAAAATTTTTAAAGTCTGTAAAATATCTTAGAGTTATTTTACCTAAAACATAGCAAAGTATTAGAGGCAAGGGAAACAAAAGCAAAAATGAACTTCTGAGACCTTATCCAGATAAAAAGCTTCTGCACAGCAAAGGAAACAATCAGCAAAACTCAAAGGCAACCGATGGAATGGGAGAAGATATTTGCAAATGACATATCAGACAAAGTGTCTGACATGGTGTCTAAAATCTGTGAAGAACTTACCAAACTCAACACCCACAAAATAAGTAATCCAGTCAAGAAATGGGCTAAAGACATGAACAGACACTTCCCCAAATAAGACATCCAGATGGCAAGCCAACATATGAAAAAATGCTCAACATCACTCATCATCAGGGAAATACAAATCAAAACTACAATGAGATACCACCTCACATCTGTCAGAATGGGTAAAAATCAACAAGTCAGGCAACAGTAGACACTGGCGAGGATGCAGAGAAAGAGGATCTCTTTTGCACCGCTGGTGGGAATACAAACTGGTACAGCCACTCTGGAAAACAGCACGGAGATTCCTCAAAAATTTTAAATAGAACTACCCTATGACCCAGCGATTGCACTACTAGGTATTTATCCAAGGGATACAGGTGTGTTGTTTCAAAGGGACACATGCCCCCCAATGTTTATAACAGCAGTATCAGTAATAGCCAAAGTATGGAAAGAGCCCAAATGTCCATTGACAGATGAATGGATAAAGAAGATGTGGTACACACACACACACACACACATTGGAGTATTACTCAGCAATCAAAAAGAATGAAATCTTAACATTTGCAACTATAGGGATGGGACTAGAGGGTATCTTGCTAAGCAAAATTAGTCAGAGAAAGACAAATATCATATGACTTCACTCATATGAGGACTTTAAGATACAAAGCAGATGAACATAGGGGCACCTGGGTGGCTCAGTTGGTTAAGCGTCCGACTTTGGCTCAGGTCATGATCTCACGGTTTGTGGGTTTGAGTCCCGCATCGGGCTCTGTGCTGACAGCCAGCTCAGAGCCTGGAGCCTGTTTCAGATTCTGTGTCTCCCTCCCTCTCTGACCCTCCTCTGCTCACGCTGTCTCTCTCAGAAATAACTATAATAAAAAAAAAAAAGATGAACATAAGGGAAGGGAAACAAAAATAATATAAAAACAGGGAGGGGACAAAAACATAGAAACTCTTAAATATGGGGAACAGAGGGTTACTGGAGGGGGTTGTGGGAGGGGGGATGGGCTAAATGGGTAAGGGCATTAACCTACTCATGTTGCACTATATGCTAAATAACTTGGATGTAAATTTTAAAAAATTAATAAAAAACATAGCAAATTATTCTTAATTA